CGGGCCGCTGCCCGGTGCCGCGCGCGGGGGCCCGGAAGGGAGGCAGGGCAGCCGCCCTAGGCCCCGCTCCACCGCCGCCCCTCTGCAGTGCGCTTAGCGCCCCTGCCCGTGTTGCCTGACTGGGCAGAGGGGGGGAGCTGCCTGTTGACAGACGCCTCCTCAAACCGCGTTCACATGGTGCGGTGTTTGGCCGCCCCCGTGCTGCTCAGTGTGTGTGAAAACGCAAGGAGGCTGCCCAGCCCTGCCCCGCCCCGCCCCTCCCCGTGCACTGAGACTTCTCCAGCACGGATCTGCTCTGCTGCCTGCCTCATCCGAGCACCTCATATACCTCAATCCACTTGTGCCAGAGCCGCGTGAAAGAGGAAAGTAGTATATCCATTTTCATAGATTCGTAGATCGGTAGGGGCCGGGGGGGACCTTGCAGATCACCGGGTCCGGTCCCCCTGCACTAGGCAGGAAAAGACAGCTGGGATCAAGTGACCCCAGCAAGGTGCCTGTCCAGGCTCCTTCTGAAGATTTCGAGGGCAGGTGACTGCACTGCCTCTGGAGGGAGCTTATTCCACAGTCTGGACACCCCAACTGTGAAGGAGTTTTTCCTGGAATTGAGCCTGAAGCGGCCTTCCAGGAGTTTGTGCCCATTGGTCCTGGTCTTCCCCGGGGTGTCCTGGTGAACAGCTGTTCACCAGGTCCTTGATGAACTCCCCTCATGTAGCAGTAAGCTACATCAGCCTTCTCAGCAGTCCCCTCTCAGCCTCCTCTTCTGTAGGCTGAAGAGGCCCAAGTCCCTCAGCTTCTCCTGGTATGTATGGCTTGTCTTGCAAGTCCCTGATCATTCGGGCGGCTCTTCTCTGGACCCTCTTAAGTGTTTCCACGTCCTTGTTGAAGTGCAGTGCCCAGAACTGGACGCAGTACTCCAGCTGCGGTCTCACCAGTGCAGAGTACAGTGGGAGTATCACTTCCTTAGTTTTGCATGAGATGCAACAGTTTATGCATGCCATTTTACAGACAACCTTCATTTAGTGTTACTGGAGGCACCTATTCACTCTGTATACAAATACAAATAGGTATTTGAATAATAGGAAAAAAAGTATTACCTATATTGAACACTAGATGGCAATCTCTGATAAATGTTGGAAGACAGGGCATGCTAAATTAATTAGGCTCAGGCTTGTAAAATCTCTAGCTTTCCTGTTTCATCTTTAGGTAAACATTTGTATTTTCATTTTAATTAGATGCCGGTGTCCATCTCATTCCCACACATACTCCCAAGGTAAGAATGTGTTAAATCTGTGTCTTAAATTATTCCTCATGCTCACATCTTCAAACTCCACATATGGATTTAATAAAAAGTACAACAAAGAGCAAAGTAATGATAAATATAACTTATTTAGAAGATGTGTATAATATTTACAATAGAGGAGAAACAACTTTAATGAACAAAATAGTGATTTTTTTCCCCCCTGGCTGTGCATAAAGGGTCAAGTTTAACATTATAGATTTAAGTAGAAGTGAAATGTATGTCAAAAGTTAAAGACATCTTAATGTACCCTGTAAATTTGTTTTTTATTAAATACCGTAGCTATGCTTACAGGATGTAAGACATTTGTCTTGTGAATAGAAATAATTATTGTCCGAACTGTCCTACTGGCGATTACAAATGGCCCAAGTATGAGTGCCTGACCTGAGACATGTTTAAAGGGTTTCAGTTTGCAGAAATCCATGACCATGCTGTCTGACAATCAGACTCATGAGAGTATGTTATATTGGGTGCCCCAAAATGGAACCATTCAGGTTCACTCATTACTCATGAAAAGCTGGAATTACATGTTTTTTTGGACTTTGAGGCCATGTCCAGATAAGCACACACCCATCGATGGCACCACACACCGCACATGCAGGCATCCCCTGCACTGCTACCTTGCAGCATGGTAGGGAGGGGAAGGTTGACCCCAGGAGATCCCACACCAAAAAAAAGCAGGGCAGCACATGTGGCAGCAGTGTGCACCACCCAAAACCAGACTCTGGTGGGACAGAGCCACGCTCCAGCTCCTGACCAGGCTTCCTGATGTGGCTGCAGCCCCAGGAAGGCCCCAGAACCCTAGGTAAGGCTGCTGGCCCCAGCACAGTTGCTGGCCCCAGCCTCCCCTTTGCAACCCAGAGTAATCAGCCACATATTCCCTGGGAACAAGTAGCAGCGGCATGAGGTGTGCCACTGCTACTTGTCCCCAGGGAAAGAAACATCCACGCTCATCTGGACGCAGCCTGATACTGCAATTGGATTCACTAGGGCAGAATGATATTATGGAGGTACTTATGGAAGGTGCCTTGATGGCAGGACTGTGGGGACTACACTACTTCATTAGTCATGCATTGATTAAAAATTGTGGAAAGGGTGAATTTAATTCCTAGACCTCAGAGTGCTCTATAATGATGTGTAAGTATCGTCACTGTCTTACAGACTCAGTTTTTCCCCCAAGTTCACCCAGGAAGGCAATGGCAGAGCTGGAAAATTAAGCTAGGTCTCCTGATTACATTTGGGAGCCCTTGTGAGTTCATTCAAAACAGGCTCTCTACAGAGGAAAAATCTATATAATCTAGGAATCCCATAAGCATGCTCTATAACAGAAACCGAGACTATAAAGCAGCAAAATTATAAGTATTGTGCAAATATTTCTGGACAGTCATACAATTATTAAGATTCATACAATCTTTCCAGACTCAGTGGATATTTTAACTATACATACATGCAAATTATTAGTCACTTATTCGGCTCATCCAAGATACATTTTTAAAAACTTTTTAAAAAATGTAAACATTATGACATCAAACTAACTACTTAGTTTAAACTAGAAAAGGAAACTGTGGCTATTCTATGAGGACATTATGTTTGATATGATAAAGGGTTACATAAGTAGGTTCAAAATGAGCAAATTCTAATCAAACATTGATTTACAAAAGACCAAGCAGGGACCAATATATAAAGGGAATTGATACAATTTATATATAAGGCTGGACTAAATTCATAGCGACTTCTGTTTGAAAACAGCCAATGTTTCACAACAGCATTTTGAGGAAACAATA